AGGCCAATCTCATGATTTGGGGAATCTGACTTGTGATTTTGGAACCTTTGGGGATGGCCATATGCTGATGGTCCCTGTGTATCCACACAACAGGGACAGCATGGGACAGCATCCCCTCATCCACAGCTGGGAGCAAAAGGTCAGTTCAGGCTTCAGGACCCAGCCTATCCCAGGGCACTCTGCTGAGTCACCCAGGAAGACGCCTATGGGGGGCAGGGGTTGACAGTTTCAGCATGGATGGGATGGAGCACATGGGCCATCAAAAAGCCAGGAGGTGTGAGCATGTCAGTCACTGAAGCTGTGTGCATAGCCCATTTGTCGGTTCGCTGGGCGCACTGAAAATTTGAAAATTGCCAAAATTTGTCATTTTGGTGTAAACAGAGTCTGGATGAGCTCTCCCCTGACATCTAGTGGTGAGCTGTGGAAAAAGACTTCAGGATCTGATCTTGTTTGCACGGACACATACACCCTGTGTAGGTGCTCAGCATGATGGGATTGCTTGCCCAAATGATCACTTGTGGCTGGTGTTGGATCCCCAGTCTCCTTGTCATTGGGGAAGAGTAATAAAGGGTTGTTATCCTTGTTGTGTGAACGGAGGGCAGAAGAACTAAACCTGGCATACCCCAATGGAGGGACTCACCTTCAACTGAACAGTACTCGCTAGGCAGGGGACATGGGTCCCAAAGCCTAATAAGCAGAGAGGTAGTTGTGCTAGGTGATGGGGGCACTGGATATCATTTTTGATGGTCTAATAAAAGAGGTAATTGAGAGTCTTGTTATAGGCTGCAGAGCTAAAATTGCTGATATTTAGATCTACTTAAGGACAGTGTGTCTATTGCAAGAGACTACCTCGTATGCACCAGCAGTGAGACTCCCCTACTAACAGCTGAAATCAGAGAGCTGTGTTAAGTGGGGGGCCCTGAAGACATCTTGGTGAGTAGCCAGCAGGGTGGTTGGTGGAGATGGCCAGAGCAAAGCCCCCCAGAGAAGCACAGCAAGCGGCAGTTGAGGCGATGAGTGAGAGCCTAAGCAGCAGACAGTGCAAGGTGCCTCCTTCCCACCCCCATCACAGGGTGGGAGGTGAACTCTGCAGACGAACCTCTGAGCTCTGGGGCTGCACTGGCCAAGGACAGCAACTGAGTGGGGTGCAGAGAAGGGATGGGCACATTAAAGGGACTTTTGGGTTGCTGGACTTAAGAACCTGAGGGGAAAAGGACACTGCCCAACTTAATTGGGGGTGGGTATTTTGTTCATGGTTTGTGTTTATGAACCCTAGTTGCGGTGTTTTCCCAAATTAATGCTGAGTTACTTCCCTCCTTTTATTAGAAGTTTTTGCTACACTTAGACTCTGTGCTTGCGAGAGGGGAAGTATTGCCTCTTAGAGGCACCCAGGGGGTGGTGTGTAATTGTCCCAGGTCACTGGGTGGGGGCTCGAGCTGGTTTTGTGTTGTATTGTTGAAAAGGAACCCCTAGATACTGAACCCGGCCCTTGTTGCTGCTGGCTCCACCTGGTAGAAGGGTTGCATTGGCTAACTGAAAAGGTTGGTTAAAAAACTAGTTTGGGGTCAAATAAAACACTTGGCTTCATTTTGGGGAGGTTAAAACATTGTAAAGCATTTTTGAAATTGAAGGACTGTCCAAACTGAAGTGTGGATCGGCAACAAAAAGTCAAAACATTTAATTTTGGAAATGCCAAAATCAACCATTTCAACACATCCAATTGTTTTCCCTTTTTTCTGGCCAAAACAATTCACATCAAAATCGAGCGGCATGTGGGAATTGTTTTGGTTGAACCAAATCTGCAATTATTTTATTTTATTTTTTTTAGCAAAAAAAAGGTTTCACAGGAAAATTTTTGCCCAGCGCTGTAGAGAAGCCTGTCCTCACAGTGGCGTTTTAAACCTGGCGCGCTCGCCCAGGGTACGCTCCCAGCTGCAGAGGACAGGAGGAGGGAGAAAGTAGCCTGCAACTGGCCAGCTCCGAGCTGCGGAGTGTGTTCCGGGAGAGAGATCAGGGCAGGGGACTAATTATGACCTTGTTACTAATGGCTGATGAAGCATCCACCACCATATGGCCTATGACTATGCCTAGGGATTGATTGACTCAGAGCTGCTATTTCAATCCCAGGGCTAATTGTTTTTGTTAAACTAGCAGCCTCCATTAAACCTGTTTTATCATCTTCCCACCCCCCCTTTTTTACTTATACAGAATAAATGGATTAGTTCAGAGGGATTGCAGGGAGTGTGTGAGCGCGCCCAGTAATTACTGTAGTTTAGGGGATAACACAGGCAGCACAGTGTAAGCTGTGTACCAGGTATTGCTCTGGCTGACTGAATGACGGACCATAGGCTCCAGGTAATGGCCACTGACCCAAGCCATTCAGAATGTGCTGGGAAGGGAATGAGCTCCACTCAAAAGCTAGTTTCAGGGGAAGTTGCTCCCTGTGTTAACGACTCGTGGTTTGGCTCTCAATTCTTTGTTTCGATAAAAGCTTCTAATTGTAGATTAGTTTGCACGTTTTTCCACATTGTTTTCAAACACTCTGTGGAAGTGGCAACATGGCCTAGTGGGCAGGGGGATGGACTGGGGCTTAGGAGCCCTGTTTCTATTTCTGGCTCTGCCATAGGCCGGCTGTGAACCTTGGGCAAATCGCTTCCTCTCTCACCTCTTGGCCTCGTTAGGCTTTAAGGGCATTGTTGGTTTCTCACTGTGTCTCTGAAGCACCCAGTATAGGCCTCTAGCTGATCCTATAATACAAATAATAATTGAAATAACTGTGTTTCAGTAAATAGTCAGTTTGCAAGCACAGCTGGCAGTGTTACCAAAATGTACATGACTTTTAGTGCAAGTTTCATAATATTTGGTGTTTTTCTTAAAACCGCAGCTCCTAGAGTCCCGTGAATATACTCTGGGCTTTCATTTAGGAAAAAAAAGTAAGTTTCTTACCCTCATGGTTGCAGAGAAAAGCAAAAAGAAGTGACCCTTCACAGCTGAAAGCCCAGAAAGTAAATAAAAAGAATGCAGGATTTCTTATTTTCTACAGTCTTATGATGTTCTGGGCCTGACTCATGATTTTGAAGACATGGGATTGGTAAAACTGAGATGCAAACCTGCTCCCTCTCTCGATGCTCATGGTTCCCTGATTCCCTAGATGTTCTCTCATCCATCTTCCCAACTCCCAGTTCTAAATGCCCTTGCCTCAACACCCTTCACTGTTCTGCAGAGAGGTGGGCAAGGCACTTAAGCAGTGAGCAGCAACCAGGTGAGGGCTGTCAGGCAGATGGGACAAGGTCCTCAAGCAAGAGACAACTGGGGAGTCATGGTAATGAGTCCCACTCATGTATATCTCCTGGTGGTACTGGCTGCATGTGTCCCCGGCTGCTACAGGGAAAGGCAGACGCTCCCGCAGGCTGCACTATGCCCTGTGCTGGCAGCCTGAAGCGCAGGGAGAGAAGGCTGGTCTATATGGCAAGGTTATTCTAGAGTCAGCCAGGGTGTGAAAGGCTAACAGCAACTCTGGAATTGCTCAGGGTGTGGACAATCCCTAGTCCCAGAGGAGTACAGCCGTCCTGGCTGCTGTTCCACAGTAGCTACTCTGGTCAATTTCCCCACGTAGTGGGGCCTGCCAGGAGCCTTCATTTGAGATAAAGGCCTGAACCAAATGGCCTACTCTGGCTTTGGTTTCCCATCCCCCTCCCTATAAGGGCTGAGCCTGAACCCCAAGCTGGGAGCCATCAGGTCTGGATTTCAGCTTCCCCACATCAAGAGGTGATCAGCTCAGTGCTTAAACTTGGCCTAGGGTTGAGAAGCTGGCGACATGGTTGGGCCCATCCCTCAATAGCTTCCCCCCAACCCTACCCCGGGAAGCACACCCTTCCACATTCCAGCACAACCCACTGCAATTCAGCGGAGGCAGGGAGCGGCCCAGCCCCCCTTGCTGACAGCTTGCCCTGAACTCTCTTGGCAGGCCCTGCCAGCAGATCACTGTGTTAACAGAGGCCCCTTCTCCTAAAAACCCTGTAATTATCCTCCCCGGGCTCCTCCCTTTCCCCCTCCTCAGTAATGCAGGGGCCACTCTTCCAGCCAGCACAGGGGATCAGGTGCATTTACCTGCTTGAGAAAACCTGCCTCATGAAATATTGAATTATGATTAGCTGGTGCCCTTGGATAAAGGCTGATCCCCACCCCCTTTCCACAAACCCTCAACTGATAGCTCTGGGCCTGCTAGCAGCCAGGGAGCAGGGAGCTAGATAGATCGAATGTCTGACAGGGAACGGGAGCCAAGGCTCATCTCTGCCATCCAGAGCGAAGGCTGAACAAATGAGCTGTAATCATCCTCCAAGGGGAACAGAAAGGAGCATTGAGAGAGCGACTGGGGAGTTCGGGTTGTTAAGTCCCCGTAGGCCCAGCGGGTTTGATGTCACTGGGTCTAGGGTTACAGTGAGCTGGTCCCATCCAGGGCTTGCTCATGGGTCCCAGCACCTTTTTAATTCTTCATGGTGTGGCTGATTGATCCACCTTTGCAGAGACACTAAAGATTAAGAGGATGACAAACAGGCATCTGCTTACACAGCGTTAAGAACTAATCTTCCCAGCTCTGCTTTAGGTAGCCTTGAAGAGAGCGTGAGGCACATACACACACACACACACACACAACCAGCCCGCAGAGCCAGAGGAGCTGCAAGCGGCACCTGGCTCCCTGGCCCCACAGCCGACCATGGGGAGCAGCTCATAGACTATCAGGCCAGAGCTTCCCATCTGCTCTCTGCCCACGCAACAGCACCGATTCGGGTGACAGGAAGCCAGGACCTCCCCCTGTTCCAGACACCTTGTGCTAACTGCTGGGGAGCAGGGAGCAACTGGGACCAATAGCCCTTGTGTGAGGGGCCATCCCAGCCGAGGAGAGGCTGAAGGATAAAACAGAGGGAGAGGGCTCCGGGCCCCCCACACTCCCGCAAGCTCATCTGTCGGTCACCTGTGCTCCAGCCACAATCCCCAGCATGTCCACGTCCCCTGCTGAGTCCACCGTGAGCGCTGGCCTGGAGGACAGCCAGTCAGGTAAGGGGCGATGCTGAGTCATGTGCCCATGCGCCCTCGGGGGCCAGTGCCACCATGGGATGCAGTAATGGCCACGAGGGTGGGCGTGGGTTGGCACCTGGGACACAGGGAGATGCCCAGACACTGCAGCAATGCAGGGATTGGAACTAGACAGACAGTTGCAGAGAACTTGCTTTAGCGCATCTATGCTCATTGGCTGATGGGTGAGCACTAACGATCGGCGCTTGTTAGCTTTGGTGAGAGGTGAATTAGTGCTGGGAGCAAACAGAGCGACCAGCATACCATTGCATAATGGTGTGAGGGGGTTCCTGCGGCTGGAGCCAGGGATGCAGAAGACCAGCTCAGCTAGTGATTTCCCAGAGCCATGCTGCCAACCCCAAGTGTTCAAAAATCCTCATTCAGGCCCCCCAAAATCATGAGATAGGCTTAAAAATAATAAATGTCAGGTTCTTTTTACTCGTCATTTTGGATTTTGAGCCTGCAGGGATCATGAGTTTCTAGCGATGTACTATTAAAAGAATTGCAAGCTGAGATTTGCACCAAGTCCCCTGACTCCAGAAGCTGGAGCTTTGAGAAAATACCCAGGCCCACAGGGCCGGGCAAAATGTCAATACATCCTGGAGCTTTCAGGAAATGTAAGGAATTCTGCTCCAGGAGAAAGACACTGGGCTAATGAAATCCTCAGGCTGTGGTCCCTGGAGCCCACAGAGTGACTGTGTTAGCAGATCTGTTCTCCCCCAGCCCAGAGAATGTATTTAAAAGCTGAACACTAAGGAGCAATTTGGTTTGCCAAGCCCAGCTTCCTGAGCAGGTTGGGATCCAGGCCTGATCTGAAGGTGTTTTGCAAAGCCCAATTGAGACCAATAATCCTATTTTCTAGGTGGGGAAACGGAGGCACAGAGCAGGGGAAGGAGCTGGGCCCAGGCCATACAGCAAGTCAGGGACAGAGTTGAGAGTAGCAACCGGGACTCCTGATTCCTACCTCTTTGGACTGAGCCCCTGTGGGTGTTCCGGTAGCAGGTGGTAGAGGACTCAGCAAGTGCCCTCCAGCCCCCCGGGGCAGAGCAAGTTGGCAGCAGGATGGGGAATCCCCACACGCACTCCTCAGGCTCTTCTCCCAGCACCCCAGAGCCTGGCCCCCAGCCACCCCCCTTCCTCTCCTCTCCCCAGAGCCTGGCTGGGCCTGTCCCCCACCTCCTGCTACTCCAAGAGCACTGTACCCCAGAAGCCAATCACGCCACTGACACAAACTCCCCTTTCCCCTGCCCCAGAGAGCAGACATGCCAGCTGCCCCCACCCTCCAACTCCCTTTTCTAGGGTCTGGCTGTGCCCCCCCCGGCCCTTCATCCCCTTCCCCCGAATGCTGACTCTTCCCATAGCTAGGAGGAGGAGAGACATGAGTCTATGATACTCCTGCGGCAGGCACAGACGTGCTGGGGGAGGAGGGCCCTTTGCAATGCCTCAGTTTCCCCACACATTCCATGAGGTTAATCATTTGTAATGGGCTTGGAAACCTGTGTGTTATTGACTGGGGGGACAGGGAGAGGTTAAGAAGGAGGAGGGGGCTTGTCCCATGTTGGGGAAGGTAGGACTGGAGGGGGATGGTTCACAAGGAGGGCAAAGCCCCAGTTCCCCACTGAGCTGGGGCCGAGCTGCTTAGCGCGTGCAGGCCTGGCTAATGAGCATTTTCTCCTGGCCCTGTCTGAGCCTCTCCATGTGCCCAGGGATATTACTGGCCAGGGAAAGCTTAGCAGCCCTGTACCCAGCATCAGCACATGGGAATCCCACAGCCGAGATCGCTGCTCAGCTGGCGGGCAGTGGGCATCACTGGCGGGGGTGTGTGGAGTGGGGCTTTCACCCCTGGAGGGGATGTGCTACCCCCGCCCATAGGCTGGCCCCCATTCAACTCACACTGCGTGGGCCTGGGATGGGGGGCGAGATCTGAGAGGCAATCCCAGGCACACAGGACAGAGCCCTTCTGCAGTGATGCCTCTGGCTTGCAGTGGGCGAGAGTTGGGGCTGGATCCGCTGAGTGTCCCAGCAGAGGGTGTGTGCTGCAGCCACGTGTCAGAAGGGCCTCATGATGCTCAGCGGGCTGGGAGCTCACAGCAAACAGCCAGCAACAGCCCTGGCCACTCAGCACTGCCCTGAGAACAACACACGCCTCCACAGGGAGGGTGCTTCCCAGGGGCTAGCGGTTAGAGCAGGGAGCCAGGACCCCTGGGCTCAGGCCCCAGGTCTGGGAGGGAAGTGGGGTCTGGGGGTTAGAGCAGCATGGCCTGTGGGGGGGAATTTCAGCCCCCGAAGTCCAGTGTGTCCAAGAGCTCTGGGCCTGCAAAGAGTGGAAAGCTGTTTAGAGCTGTTTAGAGTGGAAAGCTGTTGTAGCCCAGCCACACTTGCTCTAATGCACCCCCCTCCCCCATAGTTCCCAGCTCAACACAGGAAGCTCTCGGCCAAATAAATGGTTAAGAATGTTCCACCGCCAGAGAGCCCAGGCCGTCCTATCCCCTGTGCCCCAAGCCCTGCGTCCTCCCCGAGGGACCTGCCTTGCTCAGCGCTGGCCTCTGCAGGAACACAGCTCTCCAGGGCAGGGTCTGGCTTCTTGCTCTGTCTGGGCAGCACCTAGCACAGTGGGGTCCAGGTGTTACTGCAATGCAGATAACGAATCTCAGTAACAACAGGGACTGCCATGGGGGATCCCACCAGGCACTCATCCCCAGCGCCAACAGCAGCCAGCACCAGGCTCTTTGTTCTGGGCAGTGACACAAGAACCTGCCATAGCGGAGTTTCTTCCCAACCCCCACCAGACAGAGGTTGGCTCGTGCCCTCCTGGTTTATAACCTGTAGCCCCTCAGACCCCATCTAATGTGATGGGGACATTCACATTGCCCACATCAATGCACGATCCTCTGCTGAGCCCTCCTAAGCCTTCATGAGATCTAGTGGCAGTGAGTTCCACCGGCTAATTGCACACTGTATAAAGGAGAAGTTCCTTTTCATGGTATTAGATTCCCTGCCTTTGCCCAGTGCTGCTGGTGTCCCCTTGTTCTTGTGTTAAAAGGCAGGGGGAGAGCTGGGCCCTATCCCAATCACTATTTTCTACACCTCTCTAAACAGTCCCAGGTTCTCTCTAAGCATTTGATTGTTCTTGGAGCCCCCATCCCTTCTGTGCCTCCTCTCTGAGTTGGGGGGGACCAGCCCTGCGCCCTGGCTTTATGGGCCATAGGGCTGTTTTCTACTGCATCTGCTCAGTTGCACCCTTCCAGCACTCAGGCCTATCCGCCCTGAATCTCCCCAGCCTGTGCTGCTCACTCACGCCTGGGTCCCACTGGGATGGGTGTGTTGGGCTGGCCCCCTCACCCCGATAGCCGAGCCCTGGGATCTGAGGGGATGAGGTCATCTCCAGGCCGTGGTGCCCAGGTGCTGATTTCCTGCTCTTGCCCTGCAGGGCTCAGCCCAGCCCCTGGCAAAGCCCTGAGCCCAGTGCTCACATGCCGGGTGTGCGGTGACACCAGCAGTGGGAAGCACTACGGCATCTACGCTTGCAACGGCTGCAGCGGCTTCTTCAAGCGGAGCGTGAGGAGGAAGCTCATTTACAGGTGAGAGGAGAGCGCTGCTGCCCGGACTCACAGGGCCAGGGAGAGGCAGTGCCTGTGGCTCTGGGCCTCTGCTGGCTCTGGGGCTGCCCTTGCCTAGGCCTTTGCACCTGGGGGCAGGTGTCTAAGAGCCTGCGAGGGCAGGCTGGTCCTTCTGAGCCCTTGCACAGGGGGTTCAGGGACCTGCAGCTAGCCAACCCCTAAGCTAGGGTTACCATACGTCCGTTTTTTCCCGGACATGTCCAGCTTTTTGGTAATCAAACCCCCGTCCAGGAGGAATTTCCAAAAAGCCGAACATGTCCGGGAAAAATACTCCCTGGCTTACCTTAGAGCGTGCGCCGGGGGCTGCTGTGCTCCCTGACTCCTGGGCTCTGTAAGAGCCGAGCTGCCCGAGCGCTACTGGCTTCAGGCAGCCCCCATGCCTCTGGACCCTGCGCCCCCAGCCGGGCACTTCCCCTCCCGGGCTCCGGGGGCGCAGGGTCCAGAGGCATGGGGTCTGCCTGAAGCCGGTAGCGCTTGGGCAACTCGGCGCTTACAGAGCCCAGGAGTTCAGGGAGCACAGCAGCCGCCAGAGCCCGGGAGGGGAAGTGCCCGGCGGCATGCGGGCTGCCCGAAGCCTGAGCACTACCGGCTTCACGGTTTGCCGGGCAGCCTCCAGACCCTGCACACCCGGCTGAGCGCTTCCCCTCCCAGCTCCAGCTGCGCTGGGGAAGCGCCAGCCGGGGGCGCAGGGGCTGGGGGCTGCCCGGCAAATCATGAAGCCGGTTGCGCTCGGGCAGCCCTTTTTGCATGGCTTGGAGGGAGGAGGGGGCGGAATTAGGGCGGGGACTTTGGGGAAGGGGCGGAGTTGGGGCAGGGCCAGGGATGGGAAAGGAGCAGGGCCAGGGCCCCATGGAATGTCCTCTTTTTTTATTTTTAAATATGGTAACCCTACCTAAGCCCCATGTGACCACAGGCAAAGGCGCCCTAGTCTCTGTGTGGGATACACACCAGCATCCCCCGACATCGCAGCAGGAGGTGGTGCTGGGCGCCCATCTCAGGAGACCCCCCCGCCCTTTGCAAACATCTCCGAGTTCACTCCTGGCCTGATGGCCCTAGAGCCAACCAGGGCAGAGCCAGCTCCCCCCACCCACCAGTCCTGCCCAGGTCCGTCTCCATGGTTCCCCAGATTGATGCTGCCATGTGGGCACTGCCCAAGCCCCAGCCACTTCACACACAGCCCTCAGAGGGGCTGTGCCATGACCGTAGAGCCAGACTGTACTGGAGCCGTCTCCACCCCTCTCCCCAGGAGCCGAGGCTCAGATCAGTGTGGGGAGATGGGCCAGGTCTGTGCTGGGCTGGCGCATGGCAGGCCATTCCCCTCCTGGCCAGCACACTATAGACCATGTGCTCTAGGCCCCATGCCGGGCTGGCACCTCTCTGCCAGGACTCAGCCGGGAAACCACGAACCCCAGCCAGCAGGTGGGTCAGCCACAGGGCCTGTTAGCATCCCGGCCTGCCCCCACTGCGCCCTGCGTGCTTGGTCACCCCTGGTGCCACACGGAGCCCTGGAGCACAGCTCTGGGACGGGACTGATGGGAAGGTCTTCAGCAGTGGGGTCCAGCAGAGACCGATGGAGCCACCCCATCCCCAAAGTCAGACCTGCTGAGCCCCCTGCCCAGCCAGCCTGTGGGGCAGGTAGTGCAGGGTTGCTGGGCTGTCGGGGGAGGCACTGCAGGGCTGCATAGGGTGAGCACCATGGGGCCATTGGGCGAGGGGGGGGTCACTGCTGAGCTAGGGGAGTAGGCACCATGTGGCTGTTGGGCTGGAGAGTAGGGGTGGGCCAGCACTGTACGACTGTTGTGCTGGGGTGTGGGCGCTGCAGGGGAAGGGCACAGTGGGGCTGTTGGGCTGAGGGGGGTGGGCACTGCGGGACTCCTGGTAGGTTATGGTGCAATCCCCAGCCATGGGTTTGACCCCAGGGTGTCAGCACCTTGTCCTGGCTAGTCAATTAGTTATGGGGCAGATGCAGCATCCTGGACTGGGGGAAACACCTCCTCCCCCAGGTGCCACGCAAGGAGGGCTGACATAACTGGGCCTGCATTCATCTGCTCTTCAGGTGCCAGGCTGGGACGGGGATGTGCCCCGTGGACAAAGCCCACAGAAACCAATGCCAGGCCTGCAGACTGAAGAAGTGCCTGCAAGCAGGCATGAACAAGGATGGTGAGTGCAGGGAGGTGCCAGAGGGTACAGGGCCGGGAAGGCCACACCTGCAGCCCTTTGACTGTGAGAGCTTCTGGGTAGGGGCCCGGGGCTGTTGCTCTCTGGGCAGTACCGGGTGCCCACACCAGGTGCTGGGCAGAGAGGAGCTCAGGACAGCTGAGCTCAGAGGCTGCTCGGGACAGGTGGAGAGGCTGCTGCCCAGAGCACACAGCTAGGTGACAGGGCCGGCCCCTAGCCTTGCCGTGACTAGGTCCCCACAGCTGTGCAGTGGGGAGGATAGTACCAGGACTGCCAGGTTCCAGATGAAGGGCTGGGAGGGCGGTTGCCACCCTCAGCTAGAAGGAGAGGGCAGAGGGTCAGTGCCCATCTTGCTACACGACCGTGCTGCAGGGAGGCTGGGGGTGGCTGCTCAGGGGGCGGACAGGGCCTGGTGCTCTTTGCTGTGCGTGTCAGCGCTCAGACCCTCTACCCCTAACCATCCTGCTCTGCATCCCCAGCCGTGCAGAACGAGCGCCAGCCCCGCAGCACTGCCCAAGTCAGACTCAACAGCATCCCGCTGGACACAGACCTCAAGCCTGCGCACTTGGCCACCACGCGGGAGGCCCCTCCGCCACCCTGCCCTGCCCTGCCGAGTCTTAGGGGCCCCGGCTCCTCTGTGCCGGGTACCCTGGGACCTCGGGCACCCACTCCTCCAAGTAATCACCGCTTCATGGCCAGCCTGATGACAGCCGAGACCTGTGCCAAGCTGGAGCCCGAGGACGGTGGGTTGCTGGGCACAGGGTGGGAAGGGAGGCTGTAGCAATACCCGTGCCAGCCTGGGGCATCAGCAACAGCAAGTGACACAGACCCAGTTGAGGCAGGGGGTGAGCTCCTTCCCAGTGTGAGGCACCAGCAGCATCAATTCTACGTCCCTGCCTGGGGCTGCGCTCCTTGCCGTGCCAGAGCCCTGAGCCCTTTCACTTGGTTCCCCAGCCCTTGGGATTCACAGAGCAGCCCCTGCAGAACCAGAATTCACAATGCTGCCTGACCTCAGCTGGAGGCATCTGGCCCCAGGCTGCTGTCAGACTGCAGCTGCCTCCAGGGAAATTGGCCTGTCCCAGCCAAGGGGCACGCAGGCCTTGTCACCACCACGCAAACCTCACCTGTAGAACCCAGGGCAGCCCCCCTGTGCAAACCTAGGCTGCCCCTGCACAAGGAGTGTGCACCAGCCACTAAAGTCCCTGAGTGGATGAGTCTTCAGTGGAGCTTCCCTCTGCCTGCAAAGGTCCTGCCATATGCCTCGGACATCATCAGCAACCAGGTGCCCTGCTGCCCTTCCCCCTGCTGGCACCAAACTGCTTCCCTTCCTGCAGTGCTTAATTTGTAATGAAAGAGGTGCTGGGGCCCTGAACTGCCAAGCCTAGAGGTGCCGGGGGCCCTGAACTGCCAGGCCGAGAGGTGCCGGGGGGTGGGGGGGGGGGCGGGGAGATCAGCCCTGGCACAAATTAGATACTACCTTTCTGCCTTGTGCTCACCTTTTGCTCCTGGAGCAGCTCGGACAGAGGTGCCGTATCACACAACTTGTGGTCCCGCTGTCTCAGATTCTCGGGCTGGGGACCGATGCTGCATTGGGAGGGCTGCAGAGCCTGGCTAAGGGGCAAACAGAAATCAGGGAAACCTGGCTAATGTTAGAGGGATTTTGAGGAGAAAATGGGTTGGTTCCTCCCCCTTCGAATTTGGGCTGTCCATGTGTCCACCCATGAGCGGCAAGACTCAGACCAGCCCTGGCTTGGTCCCTGAAGTAGCTGGGGCAGTTTCTGTGAGCTCTGCTGCTGTCCGTGACCCAGCTGTTCTCCTCCCTCCAGCTGATGAGAACATCGATGTGACAGGTAATGAGCCCGAGAGGACCTCGACTGAGTACCAGATGTCCCCCTACCCATCCGCCAGCCCTGAGAGCATCTATGAAACTTCCGCCCGCCTCCTCTTCATGGCAGTGAAGTGGGCAAAAAACCTGCCCGTCTTCGCAAATCTGCCCTTCAGGGACCAGGTGAGGTGGGATTTGGACTAACTGGGTTGCCGTTTAGTGACCTCTGGGCTGGTGTGATGCACATTGGTGAGGCGACCCCAGGACCAGACAGCAGGGCTCTGACTAGGCAGCAGACAACATAGCTCTGGGCATGCCCCTTCCCAAGCGCTTTGCAAACAGTGATTAACTCACCTCCCACCCTTCAGGCATCATCCCAGATCACAGGCCCAGAGGGTGGAGTGATTTGTCTCAGCTCACGTGGCAGGACTGGGACTAAAAGTGTTAACAGAACCTAGGCCCCGTGCAAATTACACAAGGTTTGGTTTGGAGACACCTCAGCCTGCTTAGCAGTTAACACCATGGCAAACACCCTTAAAAACCCTTTGTAACCTTTTGTTAAAGATACAGCAAAGAAGGGAAAACAGTGAAAGCCTTTGAAACGTAAAATGCTAAGTGAGGCTTTCATGTGAACAACAGCCTTTGTTGCCTTTTCCTTCAGCTGGAGAGTATCTTTTAAAGGACCCCCCTCCCCCCCGCCAGCCCACTCATGCCCTGTTCACAGCTGAGCTCACAGTTGGGGCGAAGTTGTAGACCCAGTTATCATAACAGAACCCAGCTCTCCTGATGTCCCCTCTTGAGCCATAGCCGCCAGGAATGGCCGGAGAGATCAGATGCATTTGGAGCATGCTGGTGGCTTTCACTTTGTGACCAATCTACTAAGCATGTGGCTGGGAACACGGGATTTAGGGGGCAGCAGGCCCTGGTGGAGTGGTGCTGTGATGAGATCACGTGTGAGGTGGTCATGGGTGACTGGGCCAGTAGCACTCAGGCCGAAAGGCAGGCACACGGGTGGTGGCTGCTGCTGTGCAACTTGTTTTCAGAACCCGTGGGAGATGACACATAAAAGGGAATCTAATGTCTGTATTACAGTAGCAGCTACAGGCCCTAATCAGGCCTCAAGGCACCAGCGTGCTAGGTGCTGTACGTACATGTACACCTACACCTGCCTACACCTGTACACCCACCTATACGCACCCACAGGAGGCCTCATCCCATAGCTCACATGTTCCTTCCTCTTGTGCCTTGTCAGGTGATTTTGCTGGAGGAAGCCTGGAGCGAGCTGTTCCTGCTCTGCGCCATCCAATGGTCCATGCCCTTGGAAAGCTGCCCGCTGCTCTCTGTGCCTGAGCTCTCCCCCAACATCCATGGGAAACTGGTGTCTGCCAGCGTGGACATCCGCATCCTGCAGGAAACCATCAGCCGCTTCAAGTCCCTGACCATAGACCCCACAGAGTTCGCGTGCATGAAGGCCATTGTGCTCTTCAAACCAGGTGAGCCCAGCTGGTGCTGCAGGACAGTGGCTAGGGACAGCCATAAGGCAGGCAGCCTTGCTCTCACATCTCTGCCAATGCCCCTCAGTCCGGACCTGCAGCCCCTCCCCCCTCCATCCCAGCTCTATTGTCCCCCCACCGCTGGAGCTCTGCCAACATCCCTCAGTCCTGACCTGCAGTCCCTGCCCCCCAGTATTCCAGCCCTATCCTCCCCGCAGCTCTGCCAATGCCCATCAGTCCCAACCTGAAGTCTCTGCCCCCCCCCGGTATCCCAGCTCCTTCCTGCCCAACCCAGGGCGAGAAGGCCATCTGAGCCATCGGGACCTTGGAGAAAGCAACCCCCAGCCCTGGAGACACCGGTTATATCTGTCCAGGGCCAGCAGAGCATCATTGGGTCCCTCCTGGGCTGTATGAATCCCATCGTGGAGCCCAAAGATTCAGAGAGATGCTCGCACCGCGAGTCCCCCACAAACTGCCAGCAGTGAGACTCTGAGATCTAGCCAGTGGCGGGAGCGTGACCCGGGAGGGGACTGGGCAGCAGTGGCTGAGGAGGTTGGGTGCAGGATCTTTGCACCCTTGCTCAGTGAACTCCTGGGAACTCTATGCCCCTCCCTCCATGGCTGTCATTCACAATGGCTTCCTGGCCACCTGGTGAGGCCTGTGACCCCCATGTGGCTCTGTGGAGGCGGTGTTCTGGATGATGTCACTGTGGTCATGGACAGAGCCTGGCTGGCTGCCTTCCTCTCCACCCTTCACAGGAGGCTAAACTGGCTGCCAGGCCTGGGACCCTCCCACATGCTTCCTGCTTGCTCAGAGTGGAGGCAATCCAGGGAACGCATTGCCCATTAGACCAGGCTATGCCCTGGGAGCCGGCTCACAGGCAGTGTGCGCTGCTGCCTCACAACAGCTGCACCAGTGGCTTTCCAATATTTAGTTTGGAAACAGGAGGGAGGATGATCCAAGCCATTCACCTTCCTCCTGCAGTGCCAGGAAACGTATCAGTTCTGTGTCTCGTTTATAAATAATCCTGAGCCCTACCTCCTTTGGCATTGCCAGCATACGTTGCTGCTCTGCCCAGAAACCCAATTACCTAGGGTTGCCAACTTTCTACTTGCACAAAACCGAACACCTTTACCCCGCCCCTCCTCCGAGGCCCTGCCCCCACTCACTCCATTCCCCCCTCCCTCGGTCACTCGCTCTCCCCACCCTCCCTCACTCGCTCATTTTCCCCAGGCTGGCTCAGGGGGATGGGGTGTGGGAGGGGGTGAGGGCTTCAGGTTTGGGGTTCAGGAGGGGGCTCCGGGCTGCAGGGTGGAGCCAAGGGGTTCGAAGTATGGGAGGGGGCTCCAGGCTGAGGCAGGGGGTTGGGGTGAGAGGGTACAGGCTCTGGGCTGGGGATGCGAGTTCTGGGTGGGGCAGGGGTGAGGGCTCCGGTGTGGGGCTAGGATGAGCGATTTGGTGTGTTAGAGGGATCTCCTGGCTAGGGCTGAGGGGTTTGGACTGTGGGAGGGTGCTCTGGGCAGGGGTGTTTGTGAGGTGAGGGCTCCAGCTGGGGGTGAAGACTCTGGGGTGGGGCCGGGGATGAAGAGTTTGGGGTGCAGGCTGGGACCGAGGTGTTCAGAGGGTGGGAGGGGGATCAGGGCTGGGGCAGAGAGTTGGGGTGCAGGCTCCGGGCGATGCTTACCTCAAGCGGCTCCTGGAAGCAGCGGCATGTCCCCCCTCTGGCTCCTATGCGGAGGCAAGCCAGGCAGTTCCAGGCCAATGGGAGCTGTGGAGCCAGCGCTTGGGGTGGGGACAGTGCACGGAGCTCCCTGGCTGCCCTTACGCCTAGGCAGGGCCGGCTTTAGGCCGATTCGGCTGAATCGGGCCCCGCACCTAAAAGGGCCCGGCAGCTCTCCACCCCTCCCCCAGCTCACTTCCCCCTTCTCCCCTCCCCTGAACGCTCCGCCCCCTGCTCCTCCCCCTCTTCTGCTTTCTGCGAATCAGATATTCGCGGGAAGTCTGAAAACAAGTAGGGGCAGGTGGGCAGCATCAGGTAAGCTAGGGCGGAGGGCTCCGGGGAGGCGCAGCGTGGCCCGGCCCAGTCCGGCCCCGGCCGAGCGGCTCCCTCTTGGCCCCGGCCCCAGCCGCTTCGGCCTGGCCCAGGCCCCGGTTCCGGCCGAGCAGCCCCTGCTCCGGCCCCTCCCTGGCCGAGCAGCACCTGCTGAGCACCCCCGGCCCTGGCGGCTCCAGCCCTGCTCCCAGGAATCGGGCCCCGCTCTTGCTAAAGCCAGCCCTGTGCCTAGGAGCTGGAGGGGGGACATGCCGCTGCTTCTGGGAGCTGCAGGGAGCCTGCCTTAGCCCCGCTGTGCTGCCGACCGGACTTTTAACAGCCCAGTCAGCAGTGCTGACCGGAGCTGCCATCGTCCCTTTTTGACTAGGCATTCCGCTTGAAAACCGGACACCTGGCAATCCTACCTCCTTCTGAGCATCCATCCCCAGCTACTGGGAGTTAATACACAAGGGTTCATCCACGTTGCCCAAGCCATGTCCACATGGTTTCTGAAGATGATCGGATTTCTCTCACCGTATTAACGATGGTTCCAGTGTTAATGTCGTCAGCAAATGTCCTTCCCTAGAGGATACAGCCCTGTGAATTGATTAAAAATAAACCCAACATCCTAGCTGTATAACTCATACCCATCGTTACTTTCAGCGTCCCAGGCCAGAGCTGGCACTGCAGCTTAGCTACCCCTCCCCTCCCACTGTGTATGAAGTTGTGTTCGTTTGGGGAGCAGCCGGGGGAATGGAAGGGGGGGGGGGAGACAGGAGTTGCTAGAGCACCTGCCTCAGAGCAAGAGGGTGTCGGGTCCCATGACCTGTGAACCATCTCAAACAGCAGCAGAGGCACTGCCCCCACCCCCTGCCCGCCCTCCAGGGCTCCCCCCAGGGAGTGTCACTGGAATACCAACCTCGTACTCAGAGCCGAACCAGGCACAATTACAGCTCAGCTCAGCTGGTTCAGCCTGTGATCCAATCCGACGGGCATGCCCTCACCAGGACACCCTCCGTGCAGAGGGGCTCCTGAGCAGTGCTGTGGGCCCAGGCATTGCTCCTTGCTGGCTGGACCCACTGGCCCGCCCACGGTACGGGAGTTGTGCGCTCCTGCTGCGTGCGAGGAGCCTCTCTCAGTGCAGGTGCCACAGAACAGCCCTGATCTTGTTACAGAGACACGAGGCCTGAAGGATCCAGAGCAGGTGGAGAACTTGCAAGATCAGTCGCAGGTGATGCTGGACCAACACAACCGGACACACTACCCCAGCCAGCCTGTCAGGTAACAGGGCTCATGCTGCAGCCGTGCCATTGACCACGCAGCACCCTTCACTGCTGGCCACCTGCCAGTGCCTGTCTCGCTCCTCACCTTCCTGCCTCTCCTCCCTTCTGAGCTGTCTAACAACTGCCCGCCTCCCGGGCAAGTCCATCAGAAATCACTCTTCTCCCTACTGCGCAAGCTAGTCTCCATGATGCTGAAGCCCTCGGTTTGCCTTGTGCTGCTCTAGAGCTGGGGTAGGGCTGAGCTGTCCATCCTTCCTTTAGCAGCCTTTCCTGCATAGGCAGAAGGCTAAAGCGCAGGTGGATGCATCCCTGTTGGGCTGGCGCCCTCTGCTGGGGGAGGAGGGAGTGTCACGTCCTTTAGGGATTGGGTGCTGGGTGACTCAGCTTTGTAGGATTTCCCCCCTCCACATCAAGGCATGCTGGGCTCTGCACCTGCCTACAGCTCATCCCCACTCCTCTGTCCACTGCTCCCTTTGAGGTCTTCTCCACCATGCAACGCCACCCACCATCCTCCTTCCTGTGCACCAAGCATCCCCTCTTCTCTCTTCACATCCTCCCACAAAGGGGGATGTTCCTTCTTCCTGGTAGCCCCCCATCTCCATCTGGGGGCTTCCTGCACCCCATCCAATGGTTATTTACAACAAAACCCCTAAACACGCAGAAGGTGAAACCTAAATGTGTGCCAACTTCCATGGGCTGGAGGGCCTCTTCTACCAATCCCTTCTGGCCCTCCCCCATGATGGAATCTGTCCTAGATTGATTGTGAGCTTATCAAGGCAGGACTTGCTCTTTTCCGTGTCTTTAGCACTATGGATGCACAAACAGCTCCTCTCTTGAGCTGTTCCCTTCACCCAGGCTTGTACCTACTGAGGGTATGTCTAGACTACGGGATTACTCCGAATTTACAGAATTCGATTTTTGGCAAACGATTGTATAAAGTTGAGTGCATGTGGCCACACTAAGCACATTAATTCGGCAGTGTGTATCCATGTACCGAGGCTAGCGTCAACTTCCGGAGCGTTGCACTGTGGGTAGCTATCCCATAGTTCCCGCAGTCTCCCCTGCCCATTGGAATTCTGGGTTGAGATCCCAATGCCTGATGGGGCCAAAAATTTGTCGCGAGTGGTTCTGGGTAAATGTCGTCAGTCAATCCTCCCTCCGTGAAAGCAACGGCAGACAATCATTTCGCGCCCTTTTCCCTGGATTTCCCGAGCAGACGCCATAGTGCGGCAACCATGGAGCCCGTTCAGCCTTTTTTCACTGTCACCATATGTCTACTGGATGCTGCTATCAGACGCGGTACTGCAGCGCTACACAGCAGCATCCCCTTGCCTTTGCAAGTTAGCAAAGATGGTTACCAGCCATACTGTACCGTCTGCTCCTGTCATTCCTCCTCTGGAGTGAAGCCATCAAGTGCAGGCAGCCATGGCATGAAACAGATGACAGCATCACTGAGCTGCTGGATTGAGCAAAGGCCAATGTGCCACTGCTTTAGAACAGTGGCTACACGGTGGCTCCTCCAGGCGTGGTTGGGAAGATCTGGCAGGAGCCTAGAGTCAATTCATCCTGATGGACCATGTTGTACTTGTGAAGAACACAAAACATTGTAGTGGTAGGTCCCTACTTTCCAGCCTGAACCTTAGCATTACACTCAGCAGCCCAGTGGTAGGTAGGTTGGCAAATTGCGCTGTGTTTTCAGGGACACATGGCCACACACACTTTGATGGCCCAAGCGCGTTATCCAAAAGGGAAATTTGATGGAATAAATCAAGGGGAAACCACCCGTGTCAGAACATTTTCTCTCTCTGCAAGCTTTGTTTGGGCAGCCCCTCTTGCCAGGGAATTACTGACTCATTGTGATATTGTTAGCCCTTTGACCTCTGACACAGCAGGGTAAAATCAAAATCCTCCCTGAGACTCTCCTTCTACTTAATAGCTAACCAAACCCACATTGACACTTCTCTGCTTTCCTCCAGGTTTGGGAAACTGCTCCTGCTCCTTCCCTCCTTGAGGTTTATTTCCTCAGACCGGATCGAGCTCCTCTTCTTCCGCAGAACTATCGGGAACACTCCCATGGAGAAGCTGCTCTGCGACATGTTCAAAAACTGACCTGTCCCTCTTGCGACCAGGGTCCCTTGAGGTGGGTGCTGAGGGCTTCCTGGTAGTTCCAAGAACCTGGTTTCCAGAGCAGGTGAAAGGAATGTGGAAATCCCACTCAGTCCTGAGTGAGTTGTCCAAGTCAACTGCGTATCTACCAATCCTGACATAGTATGGCCAGGATTAATCTCTGTTCACAAGCAGCTGCAGCCAACTGGAAATTGTTACCTATCAACATTCAGGTCATTGTAACCCATTGGGGGTTTCAGTCACCCCCGGGAAGCTCACACAGCAGATGCTCTGACTCAGAATTGAACAGAAGTTTACAAGCTCCATTAGTAGAACCGCAAGAATCACCTGGTACCTACCTACCAAGATTAAACTAACGTTACATATGTGAAGAACACAAACTCATGGTGGAAAGCCAGAACACTGTACTAACACCACCCCAAGGAGGTGGACAAATGCAGCTCTTGATGCAAAGTGAGGCACGAACGTCAGTAAAATTAATGAAAAAAATGAAAATCTGGAAGAGATCCAGGCTCAGAACCCGTATCACATGGAAGGAAGGCAGAGGGGGAAGGTCTGGTCCTGGAAATCTTCACACGTCCTGCCATGGGCTATGGCCCAGATGGTGGCCTAGGAGGGTCAAGGAAAAAGTGACTGTCAGTTGGAGGGGAAAGAAATGAACTTGCCTTTGGTATTTGCTGAACCCTAAATAGGGGATAACCAGCAGCAGATCATCATCTGTGCAAGATGTGTTTTTAAGATTACTTTTTCACTGGGATTTCCCACCACACACCAGGCTCTAACAGGCGATCCAGACACTGACTTTAAGGAAGACTATGACGTTTAACACAGGATGCATGGTCTGTTGTCTTGCTATATGGCACCTTGCATTCTCTCGGACTAGGGACACTTGGTGATGGCAGAACATCTACTATTGCATTTGAACTGAGAAATGTAAGTAGAGTTTGCAGAGAAGTTGAAACACACCCTGGACTTGTAGCCTCTCTTTTGAAACCCTAATTGCAGCTAGGAGAGCACAGCTCGGAGTCAAAGACCTGGAGAGGCTGATGTGATCTCTGCTACCGTGTCTTCTGAACTGAAGATCCTTTTTGGGCAGTAAAGGAGGAAAGCTGCACTGTGGGAGGCCGTGACCTGGGCATAATGACACATATCGCACTGCTGGGCCTTGAGTGTGTTCCGGCAGCATGACACCCTCTGAGCAGCGCTATCCAAGCAGTCAAACGGGACGCCATGTTCTGATAGAGACAGGGTTTTGCAGTGCCTTGCAGGAGAAGCAAGCAATGGATGTTGTTCTCATGCAGGAAGGACAACTGTTATAGGATCTGTTAGGATGTCAAGAATGCTTGATAGGCATATTTGCACGAGGAGAACTGTTGCCTGCATCAATGTAATAAAATCCTCTTTGGAGACTACAGTGACACTCTACTCCCAAGCATTTCCTTGGCTGGCAAACGCCAGGGTTCTGAGGTTAAAGAGTTAAAACTCGTATTGGTGAGCAGCAAAGGGAGCACCAAGGACAGTGTTGCCTCGGAAAGGCTATCGTGGCTCAGCCATGCTGATGTTGAGTCAATGCCCTTCAACCAAGAGGGGGGTGTGCAGCAAGGGGGGCAGGGTCATTTTTTGCATAGTCCAGCTCCTTTGTAATTGTACAAACACACATCGTATTTCCAGAGTGCCTCTCTCGCCCTGCAGCTGCCAGAGTGTGTGCTGTCTGCTGACTTGGTGTAACTAATAAAGTGTGCTCTCTGGAACTGTTCAGTTCTCTCTCAGTTTAGCCCTACTTCCTGTGTGCATCCCACTCACCTCCCCGGGCAGGATCAGCCAGTCTATTCCTGACCTCACACTACTGGATGAGACCCTTCCTCTCGCAGGTCAGTTGCATTGCAGCCTATTGCTAATCACGGCTCGAGGTAAGAACCCTTGTGGGTTTCTGGTGTGCTCAGCCCAGAGCAGTCCCCAAAGCTAGGGCCATAATGGCAGCATGCCACTGGCCACAGCTGAATGCAGAAAGAGGGCCCTCTTCTTTATTTGTATGTGAATGAGAAGCTCATGAGATGCCAAATGAATAGTTCTGGAGATGGAACTGCTATCTATCCAGCCATCGGGTACAGCAAGAAAAGCCTTCATGCATTACCTGGTCAGTGGGCTTCAACCCTGACCTGGAGAGACCATCTACTGCTAGGAGAGAGAGGGGGTGTTCGCTCACCTCAGTCCTCAGTCTTAAGCCTTTCTACTGACAGTCAATAGCAGAGCCAACTAGTGATAACTGTATAGTTGTTTTAGTGACATGGATACTGGACTGAGCTTACTAACTCATTTCACAAAAGGGATCGAACAGCCATACAACTTCAGGTCACTACCTACCGCAGCTGAGTTTGGACCAGTAACTTAAAGATGAGATGCTTTATTTTGCATTACCAAATCACAGAATCCTGCCAGTGGGGACCAAAGGTCCCAGCGGGCACTACTTCATCTGGATTCATGCAGCTAGGCCCATTGCAGCCCCATTGCTTGGGATGGGAGGGTGAGTCCGCATGCTGACACTTCCAGCATTCAGTAAAACTTGCATCATTTTTCTCTGTCCCCATAGGGGAACTGCTGATGACTATCAGAAGCTGGGAATCATGGTCTTCTGGTGACTTTATCCAGTGCTGGTAATTGTTACACGATCACTTGTGACTAGTTCAACCACCATGCTGAAGGCAGACATGCTACTAAACCTGGAAGAATGGTTTCCCTCTCTTTCTCCCCCAGGATCATGAGTCTCAGATCCAGGGGCATAACATTTCCGATAGGGAGCTCAAACTTTGCCCAGTCAAGGGATGCAATGGAAATTTGTCACTGAGTCTAAGGGCTGCCCCTCCTGTGCACAACTGGAGCACACTGCAGCCACCCATGTCTTCAGTACACACTGGGGATTCGTGGAAACTCAGGTCTCAATAGCTGAGATCTGTCTCAGGGGCTGTATGCTGGGACCTTGCATAATGTCTTTAGAATGCTTCTGGGCCACATTAGATTGAAGTCTGTTCTGGAGAAGCAAGCAGGACACACACACCCTGTTCCCACTCCTCTGTCAAGCCTTAACTGTCTTACCGGGGTGCTACTACTCTTGGTTGTCCTCCTGATCCCTGCCAATACTTGAAAGCCATGAGTCAAAGGAAAGTGAATCTGGAGAGGTTGAGAGCAACGTTTCCAAGTCAAACAAACCACATCAATCACTGTCATTCTTTGCTTTTTAATAGTTTTGTTCTTTAATAAGCTAGGGGTTATTTGTTCATAAAGTTGGTTTTGTACAGCCATACAGTATATATTTAAGAAATATTACACAAATTGCACTTTATACATATGACGGCCTTGTTCCAGAAGGAAAAAAAAACAACATTAATTAAAAAAAATTAAAGAAAACCTACTGACATGAAATGACAAAGTGCCAGTTGACTGCACAGTGGCATGCAATCTGGCTCTGTGAGTAAGAGAAATCCTTCTCCTTTATATAGTCTTTTTTCCTAAACAGGTAAAATATATAGAGCGTATGACACAGGATAATATATCCTTTTACAATACAGACTTTGCTTTTTAAATTTACACTCAGCATACTTATAAATTACTTTAAAAATTTCCATTACAAATAATAATAATTAATAATAATATGCAGCCCCTATCCTTTCCAGTGGTAAGTACATTCACTTGGTACAAGGAGTGTATCATATTGGAGAACCTACCGCTTACCTACTGCATGACAGGCCTGGAAGACAGGCATCAGGCTTAAACGTGGACGGGGAACGAAACAAAGAATTGGTCTATCCCGTGCCTGTGTTCAAAATAATAATTAAACAACGACAAAAACAGAACACACAGTCTGGACCCACTAGAACCTTTTCACTGTCTCCCCCTCCCCACTTCAAGACAAGATAAAAGGAAAGTGGTGGGTGGGAGGGTTCTGGCTGAAAAGAATGCTCTTGGATTGGAAGAAAGGAAAGCTAGGACACCCTGGAGTGTATCTGAAGCCTAGAGTTACTGTTGCAGAAGTGGATTCGTTGTGGAGGGTCAGAAACCCTGAGAACAGCAGAGGCGGGCGTGTCGAAAGCCATGTTTTCATTCAGGGCTTCCTGTGTGTATATCACCTTTTGAACCATACACATCTGATTTCTAATGGGAAGCTGTGTTCAGACTGTTTGGTGCTTAACATCTTAATTACAAGTGCTTATGTAATTCCTCTTCACCAACACCATGGGGGGGGGGAAGGGGGGAGGCGCGCGGGAGGGAAGGGACAGACAGACCGTTCCTTAATCTAAACTAAGCAGGGCTTGATAAATCAATGTTGGATCCCCTGATGCTTTTCCAGTATTAACAGTCTTCAGCTAATGTTAAATCTCACCCCTTGAGTGGAGGCAGCTATCCATAGCTCCTTGTGTATCCTCCACTCGACCCAACTGAAAAGGCTGTAACAGCGGTATGACTTGCAGCCTCTGCTATCATATATGGGCAGATGCATGCTGCTTCTGCAGGTGTGGACACTGTGGGGGGATCCCAAACTTAATTCCTTGCATGGCAATATTAAGTACGACACTGCAGGGGACAGCAACCTGGACCCCCTTTTGTGAAAACTTCATGATGTCCCTCCCCATCCTGACCCGTTGCTTCTGCAGAAATTTGTAGTTCAATAATCAACATTATTGAGGAATCCGCAAGTCAATGGGAGCAAAAACCTTCAGAAGAAGGTAAGTAGGAATAATCCCTGCTGAAAACTGAGCCCTGTCCTATTTCTAACGATTCCATCTGCAGAGCCATCAGAATAGGGATTCTCTCTCTATCAGATGATGATCCCAAAAGTAACTCTGCAAAAGTGGCTCCTTCATAAAGTATGCTCTGAATCAGTCTTGCAGAACCCAGTACAGCTTAAGAAAAGCAAGCTGTGTCCTATTCTGCCTGAAGGCAGCAAAAGTGCCAGCAGCATTCTGATTCCACATGGGAGATGATACACAGTGTGAAGCACAAAGAACACAGCCTGATTTTGAAATAACAGGTTGAACCCACTGTGCTGGCAGTTCGACAGCTTGTGCTTGGACTTTTAAACACAGCAAATTCCCATATGAAAATCACTGAAAGAACAATATGAATCCACTGAGAGGAGATTTTTACAGAGTGACTTTTCTTATCTTGAAATGCAGTTATGGTTTTTTTTAAACAAAGGCTATGTAAAAACGGCACATCCTTCCTCAACAAATCTGCTCTCTGCGAGTATTCAGTCTCCTCTGACTCTACTGACTAAATATAAGTTTTGACTCCTTTAGACTACAAGCTGTGCAGAGCCAACCCACTCTAAGGTTGTATGCACTGAAATCTCTTCTGGCTTGTGCACCATCAGAATGGTTAACTAAGATCTAGTTGCAAAATCTGTAGTTAGCTGGTCTGTATTCATGTTTAAAACTTTATTTTTAAAGTTAAAAATTTATTACTCTGCATGGCATCAGTTCATTTAATTCCAGTTGAAACAACAGCCTATTCTATCCACTTCATATACATTTTTTGGGTAATCTTATAATTGGCTTCTGAAGGGTTTGGGTGCCCTGGAGCGTTTCCTTAGTTACTTTCCACCTTCATAACCACCACCCACCTTGCCAGGGGTTTCTTGGTTCATCTGTAAAACGGCTAGAGACCTATTAAATTAGCAACTTTAGAACTAAAGAGTTTGGCATAATTAAATCCACGGAGGTCAAAGCAGGAACTGTAAATCCCTGTCCCTGCTCCATGTCATCGCCACTCTGGTAAAAGTGGCCTAAATTACATTTTTTTCACTGCCAAAAAAATAATAATAATAAATAAATAAAAAATCCCTTTAAAGAAATGCAGGTTCAACCAGCCGAGGAACATGCCAAAGTATTGCTCCCCCACCAGTGAAGTCCGAGAGGAAGGAATCATTAAACCTACTACTATTACAGGCCACTCCAGCAGACTGACTCATCCCCAGGGTGCTCACCCATGTACGAAACCAGGTGTCCCATTGTCCACAACAGCTGCAAGTTCAGGAAGGGCCTTTCTGAACTGAGATATACTGTTGTGAAGCCAGGATGCGGACTTGGTTCTGTACTGGAATGCTACTGAAGGGAGGCAAGGGAAGGGGTTACTGGGAGTTGCATGATACTTCTAGTTCCATATTATGGAGGTAAAATAACAACCATTACCCAGCAATATTATGAAATGCAAATGTCTTTTCCCGTTACTTTTGGTTGCTAGAGAGACAGGGGTCAGGTACACAAACCAGTGCTGCTATTCTGACACTGCTGTTCTAGATTTCTGATTAGGAGGATCAAGGTTAGAACCACATTTGGCTTCAGAACATTACCCAGTACAGAACTAGCAGGTTAACTTGCAGGTCCAATCCAGCATTTATTCAGCTAATTGTTCTAACTCGGGTCCTGAAGCCCCTTCTAATCAACTCCTCCTCTCAGCATCAGCAAATTCCTGGCTGCTTAGGGAAATGGACTGGCATCTGTAATTTCTCTGAATGATGCTCTGGGATTGCTGGTCTTCATCCATGTGACCGTGGATGCAGACTAACACGTAGGGACATCCCCATAAAGTTCCAAGTCACTAAGTGACCTCCTGGACTACTGCCTCTAAGCTTACTAATTAGATTCCTACAAATCTGTTTTTTTAAAAGTGTTACAGCAACATCTGTGCAGGTGGCAAGTCACAGGATGACATCATGAATGACAAATCTAGCCTTGATCTGACAGAATGACACTGCTCGTCTTACTCTAAAGAGATCTAGTGAGAACTTTTTAAGCAAACATTTGTCACATACTTGCCTTGACGAAGGTGTCACATTTACAGCGAGAGGTGCACATGCATCAGCTTCTCACATGTTCTAAGCAGTTTAGGCAGGTTGCTAATCTCACAAATGTTCAGTGAGCTGAGACATGGTGAATGGTGATGCACTATGGTGAAAAATGGTGCCATTTCTTTCCCTGCAATAATCTTAGGGGCTAATTCTACCTTCCCTCACTTCTCCCTTTCTTTTCCTGGCAAAAACATTCCATGTAGGGGGAAAATAAAAACCTTTAAAATATATATACAGTGAACTTCAGTAACCAGGATATTAACAAAAAGTAGTCCTTGATTTTTTTTCTTTTTGCTTTTAATACTGATGATCTGAGAAAAGGGGAGAAAGTTGGTTAGGTCACATTTTAAAAACAGATTACTCTGGGAAAATTTCCTTAACACTTTTCCATGCATTTCCTTTTGATTTAACAATGCAATTAAAATAGTGCTGTTTTGTCTGCATGAGTTTGCTGCTTGGCTGAGAAGTTCCTGTCCTTCACTGGAACTGTTAACCATTGTTCACTTGGGTCAGTGTATACAAGTAGGCAGCACTGCAGGGTTGTGATGTGGCTGTAAATATTTTAGGTTTATATTTCTAAAGGTTCCTTTGTTTTTTAGAAATGCTTCTTTGTGCCTCGATCACAGGATTAGTTATGGCTATTGAAAATTCGGCACAAGTATTTGGCTTGAACTAACCAGGAGTCAAACTGGCATTAGTTTTCCTGACAACAACAACAACAAAAATAAAAATCACTCTCTTTTCATTGCAGGTCTGTGTGGTGGGAGTTTTGAGACATGCTCTGATTGTTTGAATGGAAATGATAGCTTTTTATTATCACCTGACAACAACATGGAGTGCATTATAAATAGCTCTGAACAAAGGGCTTGGTCTACTCTTTGCTGTGGTTCCTTGTAAGGAGGAGTTTATGCTTCATCCCAGCACAAACACACAGTCTGCAGCTTTCACATCAAGGTCAAGACAGGCGTGGACCAGCCCCCCAAACTCCAAGATCCTGTTGGCGTTACCTGGCGGCTTGATTTTCCCTCTCCCCATTTCCTCTGCTCAGAAAGAGAAAGCCAGGGGCTGATGGGAAGTAAAAGAGAGCTCACCAGCAATTCTTCCCCCAATTTATTTTCTTTTGTTCTGAGTCCCCAGTCAGAAAAACCTGGCAGGTTTTGAGTTCCAAAATATTAAAAAGAGCTAAGGCCACTGCTGAAACTGTCCCCAACAGGCTTTTGTTAAGAGTTAGTCTCCTGCTCCCTGTAGCACTGGCAATGCAAGGTTGGAAGCCCAAGCAATTAGTGAATAAATGCTTTGCATGGGCAGCTGGCAGCAACTCTACAATGGTGGCGGTGATGATGGGGGGGAAGATACCAAAGGTGAGATGCTATCACTTGTCTGCAACAATGATGAGATTTGGGGCAACTGGTTCACACCATAAACTCATTGTTCCCAAAAAGCACCAGCTGCTGGGTGCTGCTGCAGTCTGCTTCAGTGTTTCTTTTCCGGCCTGCCCCAGCTGTCCCCTCTGGGAGCTCTTTGGTTTTCTGGGGTGAGTTTTTCACATTCTTCAGCTTCTGTTTGCCTTTCTCAGGGCTGAACGTCCCTCTGCTGGTGAACTGGGGCCTGTCATCCAGACCCCTAAGCTGCCCTGGTAACCCTTCAAGTCCCAACCTCTGCTCAGTGATATTGCCAGGAGCAACTGCTCGATAGAAGGGTGACTTGGAGTACATTTGGAATCGTTTCCTAGTCACATGAGGTAAGCAGGACGAGGAGGATGAAGACGGAGAAGAAACCGAAGAATCCACTGAGTCCAGAGAGTCTTGCTGCTTCCTCGGGTGCCTTCGCGACCTGCTCGTGGATTCAATCTTGACAGGCCTCAGCGAACTAAGTGCTAAACTTCTCTCTGATAGAAAGAGAGGGGAGGGGAATGAGAACAGATACACACAAGGCTGCATATACAGTTATGCATTTCCATGTAACTCTTACTATCTGAGAGTGAATTTGCTGGGCATATCAGGGGGAACATATGTAATTAAACTGGAAAAGAGAAGTGACCAACCCATGGTGCCTACAGGTTAACATGTGAAATGGTTACCCACAGTGTCTGGGACAACCAGGGGTCTGACATGATTTCAGGCACAAAATGATTACATGATTTGCTGAAGTCCATTCACAAGTCCGTAGCAAAGCTAGGTCTCTCATGCCTGTGTTTTAATCAACAGACTATGCTCCCTCTGGGGTGAAGATGGAGGGTGTCCCAGGCAGGGAATGCCACCTCCCAAGCAAATGCTTTAGCCCACTCTAGGATTAGGCTGCTCACAATTATATGATTTGGGACTGGAGGAGTCTCAGCTGGGTTGTGGGACAGAGTTTGCACACGCATGAGTAGGACATGCAGTGCCGCTGCAGCACAGACTGGGAAGAAAGGGGGGGGGGGAAGTCTAAGAACCAGTCTAAAGCTTGAAGTGCTGATGCTGTTGCATGTATCAGTAGGCCCAGTTTTGCTGCACTGAATCAGTCTAGTAAGAAAACCTGTCAGAAGAGGACTGTGATTACCCGATCGATCAGAGATAGCCCCTTCAGAGTCAAAGTTCAAATTTTCGGAGCTATCCGCAGTGCCAATGGAAGCTTCAGACTCAAGGGTTTCATCATCAGAGGCTCGGGGCTCCAGTGCAAGCATCTCAAAAGTCAGCTCCTCCCTGCAGAAAAGAACCCTAGTTGGTGAACCAGGACAAAGGTGGAGAGGAAGTAAACCAGTGCTGTGTAAGCAAGGAGACCCAGAAGGGCACTGGCTGGAGAGCTCGAGAGAGGCCGTGAAAACACAGTGTCAGGAACAGAACAACAACAAACAAAGTTCAGAACCAAACACAGATATTGGGGTATCACAGTGGGAGGAAAGTGCAAGTGTCAGAGCTGGAGTCTACACTGGAATTAGTCCACCAGTGGTCATGGAGGCTTCCATTAGAGGAACCATCAGCAAGAACATCCCAGCTAATCCAAGTGCTGTGGCTGGACGTCTGTCAAGGGGCAGCTTCTCAGCCAGCCCGTCCCCAGACCAGCACTTTAATGGTCATCACCAGCACCTTGAACTGCACCATTGTTGAGGCGAACAAAATGGCATCACAGCAGTCTGGCTTGGGGGTGACAAAGGCAAGGATGAGCCCTGCAAGGTCCACATTAGAGAAGATCAATCTCAGACTCCTGGCCAGAATCTAACAAGGCCCCAAGGCTGGAGAGCCAAGTTAGCAAGGGGGAAGGGCTGTACACCCTCAACAGCTGATGCAGACAAAGTCTATGATCATTACTCTGAGTGCTGCTGCCTGCCAGCTAGCATCTCTCCCACTGCATCTGGGCTGTCTTTCACCCAGATCCAGATCAGTCAGACAGCAGCAGTAACAAGGTTGTAGAATCTCCATTAGAGGAGAAGGAATCAGACTGAGGTCGCCGCAGCTCAGAATGTTTCACCATCTCCCCTAGTGGCTCCCCACACACACTGGGCAGGAAGGGTGACCGGATGGAATCCTGACAGAAGTGTATGTCAGGGCTCTTCAGGAAGAAGAGCAGTTACTTAGCATTAGCCTCTGGCTTCTCCTGCATAGAAAGGAATGAAACCAAGGGCTACACTGCCAATTCCAGTCAGTTCAACAATACTTCACATTCAACTAAAGGAACCACCGCTGATCTTCTAATGATCAGCATGGACACATCACCTTTCCCCATTGCTAACTGACATCCATGTAGTCTCTATTCCATACCAGTTCTAAAACTCTTTTTCTGGCAATGTGCCTCAATCTTGACCTGCAATTCCGCGCAAATGCACCCCTATCCTTCAGCACAAATGCACCTCAATCCCGACCTGCAACACGACTTGCCTTCAGTTTTGGGTCCCCTTCATAGTATTGCTGATGCACCTCACCCTGATGTGCAGACATTGCTAATCGTACAAATGTTGTGAAGTGGAGAACATTTTTCAACAGGTATCAGAGTGGGACCAAATTTGTGTTCACCTGTGGCTCTAAGAGGATCTGAATTTAAGATTCCAGATTCCCAACATTAATTGTCCACCTCTGGAGCACTGAGCCCTTCCACCCCTCCATTCCCTGTGACTCACTTTTCCTTCTGCAAGCTCTCGATCTGCTCAGTCAGCACCCTCTCCTCTTGCTGCATAGCTGCCTGCTGCTGATCTGTGACATCCATCTCCATTGCCTCCTCACTACTCATGGTCTCTTCAGAAACATCAGACACGGAGGGTAATCGCACTGAAACAGGAGATGTTGGACTGGGGAAAGTTCCACGCCTTAGACGTCCTTTGCCCTGCAGGTAAAAACCCAAATCAACAAACTTCATGCCATTATCCCCAAACCTTGCAGGCATGTCATGGTACATTTTAGACTGACAGTGTTCTTCCCCCCTTTATCTCCAGTACCAAGAATGGAGGAAACAACTTCAGCAACAAGTGCTTAGCACATGTACACAGTCCACAACACCAGTTACAATGCATGACAATCAAGGACATCTCAAAGCTCACAGCAGGCTGGCTGGGGGGACATAAATGTTTTGTGTGTTCAGAAAAGGACAGATGAAACTTTTTAGTGACATGCACATCGGACTTCCAAAGTCAAAGACAACAGAATGTATTTTTACAAGCCCAGGCTGTAAGACGGGAAGCCTTCAGTCTGCCAAATCACAATGCTGGCTCGGGGTGAGAACATCCTGAACATTGTACACAAAACGTTGGCGTGCACAGTCCTAAACCATCCCATTCTTTGCGAAAAACAATCCCACTATGCACACAAAACGATACGGATAACACTATCCAATGCGAACATTCAGCTTAGCGCGCTGGGGAGTTGCTCTCCGTACACAACAAACACTAGGGAGCTCAAATGATGCTAAGTGCAAAAGCCAGCTACAAAACCATGGCTGTACTTTTAGTCCTCGCACTGTCTGTGGAAATGAGAGGTCCAATATTAAAGTAAGCAGAGAGGCCAGTTAAAGCACACACTAGCTCCTTACATCAGGAAAAGGGAATGAGGAGGCAGAGGTGCCACTGTGAAACAAGGTAAGGGGAAAGATGGCAGAGCAGTGAAACTGTTCAAGAGAAAATCTCTAAGCATCCTTCAGAGCTATGAATAACTACTAGACTGCTGATCAAGCAGTGTACAACTCCAGCCGACTGGGTAACTATTCTGATATGAAGTAAGCAGAGACGCTATTATTTCAACTTATAATAGTTTGAAAACTGCCAGCTAGTTATGTAAGATGATTCTTCCTTGCTGTAATTTTTGGGAGGAATTTTCAAAAGTAGGTAAGAGACTTCAGAGCAGAAGTCCTATGGATTTGCAATGAGACCTGTATTCCTAAATCAACTTAATTTCTTTGGAAAGCCCAACCTAGTGAGTAAGCTTAGTATCTTCAGATCTTCACAGACTCACTCAGTGCACTGTAACTCACATTACAGCTGCTGGCTCATTATATTAACTACTACTTGATCAGCAGCCCAGTATATAAATACCCCCACTTTCAATATTAGAACATTAACTGCAATGTTCTGTTAATTCCTATGGGATCATAAATGTTACTATGGTATGTTTGGTGTCTTCCATTAGTGTGGGAATTACTGTGCCAATCTTCACACCCCATATACTGAAGATGCTGCAGTTTTGCATGCATGACTCATGTGAGCCAGTGGTTTCTTCCCCTACCAGGACTGGAACGCCAATCCATTGAAAAGGAATGAGGAAAAAAGAGTAACAAAGATATTGTATGTAGAGCTGGGCTATATTTTACCTTTCCTAGTATCAGATGCCTCGGTTTGCCTCATGGGGACAGAGAAATAACAGGTTTCTTTGGACATAAGACACAATGAAGAGACTAATCTCCTCTCAGTTCCACGTGAATATGGGAACTTTTACCATTATGAGAAACACTTTGCATTTCACTCTTCGGATTCATAGAGTTTTAGGGCAGAAGGGATCATTAAGTCTGACCTTTTGTATAAAACAAGACACTACATTTCACCCACTTATCTCTGTATTGAGTCCAGTAACATGTGTTTCGCTAGAGCATCTCTTCCAGAAAGACAACCTAGTCTTGGTTTGAAGACATCAAATGCTGGAGAATTTAACACATCCCTTGGTAGTTTGTTCTAATGATTAATCACTCTTACTGTTAGCAAAAATATGCCTTATTTCTCATTTTAATTTGTTTGACTTCAGCTTCTGGTCATTGTTTTTTGTTCTGCCTTTCTCTGCTAGATTAAAGAGCCCTTCAATTCCGGGGATTTTCTCCCCATAAATATATACAATCAAGTCACCTATTGATCTTCTTGATAAACTAAACAGATTTTGCTCCAAGTCTCTTTGTAATGGTTCCTCCCTTATGCTCTGAAAGCAAAAAAAAACACTGTTTTGAACGAGAATGTGAGGAGAGGTATTTTTTTTCCTAAGTGCTGCACAGGCTTTGAGTTGTCCAAATCTCATTCATGTCAATACAAATTGTACTGCTAGAACTTCAGATACTGCTTTGTCCCACTTAATGATTCCTGAATCTACAGAATCTGGTGCTCCAATTACAAACCCAGGGCCTTTCCCTACACACTGCACTTTCTGCTGCTCATCATGTATTTTGGGGATAGAGTGAGCAGATCCAGATGGGATGTTGCAGACTCTTTTTTTATTCCCCCACTTCACTTTTGAGTTGGATGTCAGATTGGGGCATTTTGTTGTATTTGTCATTTCTAAGACATGGGAAGTGACTATTCCGATCTACTCATCACTGGTGAGGCCTCATCTGGAGTACTGTGTCCAGTTCTGGGGACCACACTTTAGGAAACATATGGGCAAATTGGAGAGATTCCAGAGAGCTAAAAAACGATAAGAGGTTTAGAAAACATGACCTGTGATGAAAGGTTGGGCATGTTTAGTCTACAGAGAAGAAGGCTGAGAGGGGAGATAACAGTCTTGGTTGTTATAATGAGATGGTGATCAATTGTTCTCCATGTTCACTGGGTCTTGGACAAGAAGTTATTGGCTTAGTCAGCAGCAAGGGAGATTGAGGTAAGATATTAGAAAAACTTTACGACTTTAAGGATGGCTAAGCACGGCACAGGTTAGCTAGGGAGGTTGTGGAATCCCTGAAATTGGGGTTCTTAAGAACAGTTTGGACAAACATCGGTCAGGGATAGTCTAGGTTTACTTGGTCCTGTCTCAGTGTGGGGAGATGACCTCTTGAAGTTCCATCTAGCCCTACATTTCCATGATTCTATGATATTCTCTAGCAGCAGAGCAACCTGCTCTGTGGTTGGGGCCAATGCTGTTCCAAGGTTAGCCTCCAGGAGAGGCTCAACTACCATCGGGGCATCATATCACCTCAATTCTGAAGACAAAGAATCACCACCTGTCCCCATTTGCAAAGGTAGAAACAGTCCCAGTAGTCACCCTTGACCCATATTCCACCCATGCCACAAGGCATTTTTTTTTAAAACAGTGAGGGTGATTAACCATTGGAACAAACTACCGAGGGATGTGGTAAATTCTCCAGCATTTGATGTCTTCAAAACAAAAGTGGGATGCCTTTCTGGAAGAGATTCTCTAGGGTAAAAGTTACTTTAACTATATCATGTACATTAATGCTACTGATGGAGAAAGTCAAAAGCTAAAAGCTTTGTAGTCAACATAAGTGTGCCTTGGCTTAATGCCTCTGTTATTCACCTGAATCAATCTAGCACTTTGCTGGACCCATCTGAGAAAGGCAAAGGACACAGCTGCTCTTTAATGTGTGTGTGTTTTAAAGATGGATAGCACAATACAGGCTCCTACAGACAGACCCTTAATGAGAATGCTGCAGCACAGACACGAACATGAATGAAGGAATTGCAGAATACATCGACCAACACAAGAAATTAATGGCAGCATAGCTCAGATTCTGATCTTCTAATCAGTCCCCAAATGCTTGGCACTGCTAAGTATGTAAAAGGGCGAGGAGATACTGTGGCTGTGAGTAAACAGGTGAGTTGTCTTTCACGTTAAAGTACTGTTGCAAAGACTTCTCTCCTCATCCATCACAACGTGACCATCCTGCCAAGCAAGAGGCAGGAAGTAGCTGCTTCTGATGGGCTACAGACTGTAGCATGAGTGAGGAAAAAATAAAAGATCCATCAATTGGATCCATAAATTAAAAGCTGAAGGTTGGAAGTGCCAAGGTCTGAACATCACGGTGCATTTGGCTTCAGGTGTAGGGAGGGGCGAGAGGAAAAGTGGGGCCTCTTTTCCTGCTCAGTTCTCCTAGATTGCTCCTAGCGCTGCACTACCCTGCTTTAGCCAGGCTGCATTAGCTGGGGCAGGCATCTGGGAGGCATCCATCCACTGTGGTGCGAAATGATGGCAGAACTGAAGCAGCTGGAACAACTCGGAGGGGTACTGTGTATAAACAGACACACATGAGTAAAGAAAGAGGTGTGAGGGAGGAAAGAGAAGGAAAAAGAAGGGCTTGGATGAAAACAGAGGGGAGGGAAGAAAAGAACAGAACTAGAGGTAAAGAGAAAATGAATGGAACGAGGAACACAATAGAAAGGACAAGAATGACAAAGCTGACTGAAGCAAGGTTAATTAGAGACTCAGGAGAGAACTCTGCAGCAAACAGAGGCCTCTGTTGGCTAAGTGATGAGGATTCCCCCAGCTATTTTCATTTGTTAGTGCTGATCCTCCACCCTCTCGGAGAAGATTTGTGTGATTTGCCAGGTCAAATCACCCCTCCAAAGAGCAGCATGAGGAGCAGTGGCGTGACTAGGAGAGTGCACACAGACAGAGTACAAGAGCAGCCTTTGGAGAAGTGGACCAGTGAATTGCAGTAACCAACTGCAGTTGCTGAGGGCTATTTCATCAACCACTGGGCACCAGTTCCTACTCGTGCTCTAGCGCATCCTCCAGGACAGGGGGACCTTAGGGTGCTCCCTACTGAGAAAGAAATGAAAAGTCAGTCACTGAGGTGGGTCCTGCACAGGAATGAATGGGCAGAGTCAAACAAGGGCCTGTGGCATGGTGCTTGAATGAGCGGAGGGTTACACACAATGATGGGATGCAGCTGTCATGGAGTGCGATGCAATTAATACATACCGGGATTGAATTGCGGGTTATGCTCATAAATCTAACTGCAATTAGTACAGGTTTCTGGATTAGAGAGGACATGAAAAGGAAAGCAGAAGGTTAGAGTGCACATGCCATTGCCCCCTTAAAAGAACTTCTAGAGTCTTTTAATGTCATGAGTGAGTCAGCTCTCTGCGGCATCAGCAACAACGCACAGCTGAGCCACAAGCTTTGCAAAATAACTGCTGAAGCGCCTGTTTGGAGCAGATTTGGCTGCAATTCACAAAGCAGGATTCCTGATAGGACATGCCACAGGAGGATACTGAGTCTTTATAAATGGAGAGCCTGCTCTTCCTTTCAGCAGCACAGATCTGGGTTGACTGTCCTGTGATGAATCAGTCATTCTTTCTCATTCTATAAGCAGAACACAGCACACGAACAGCCTGTTGCTTGTTCGGCTTACAGTAAAGGGGGACACAGGTCGATTCAATTCCCAGACTCTGCCTCTCATTCATCTACCCAGTTGGGTGTGTGAAAGCTAAATGAGCTGGTATTCCAAACTCCCAGAAAGGCAGTGGGGGAAAAAGAAAGTGACCCTTTATAGTCAGCTCAGTTCAGTCCTCGCTGCTGAAGGCAGTACTAATGAAGTGACTTGCATACAGGGAGTCAAAGCAAGAGCTTGGTTAAGGGCAGCTTCACCCCAGATTCCCCCTGACGTTATGCGGGAGGGAAACAAGCGAAGGGTTTTAACACAGTGGGCAGTACCATACAGCAGGCCACTGTGATATTAGGGGACTTTAGTGCAGGAGTGAGGAGGTCATAAACAGAGCCAGCAAAGAGTTGATTAACACAGGATAAATTAGTCCAAATTTGCAAAATATATCCCAAAAATGTACAAATGAGCCTGTGAAATCCAGAGACCACGTTTCTGTGGCACTTTCCTTTAGAACTCTTGACAGGCACCATTCCCATCTCCTTTGGTATAAATGTGTGGCTTGGGAAATGCAGGGAGCCAAGTGCAGGGCTGAGGTTCAGTCTCTCTGTTGGCCCTGGATATGAGGCTTTGGGAGGTGTAAGAGGCTAGGGAGACTGAAATAGGCAGGAGAAGATCAGGGGAGATTAGTCTGAGTGAAAAGGAGAGGAAAGAAAGGGGCTGGCTTATCAGTACCAAATTATTCTCTGACTTTCAATTTAGTACCATGCACATTCTTCTCAGTTACAACAGACACACTGAATAAACTATGCAAATACATAATAGCTGCACGGACACGAGATTCTCCTCTGAATTTTATGTAAAAAAAGGAAGTTATGATCAATAACATGGCTGGAGAGACCAGTCCTCCTAAAACAAAGGAAAGGTCTGCTCCATTTTTTCCTGACACAGGAACAGAACATACTACCAGCTCAACCCCCCTCCCAAATCTTACCATTGATCTGCGGATCAAAGACAGCCTGCTTTTTGCTTTGTTCTCAGCAAACTCCAGGCTGTTGATGTCCTTGAGACGAGCCCTGTATTTATTCATCTGCTCTACGACAATCAACTCCACACAGCTGCAAAAAGGAAAAAAGAAAGTGGTAAAATGGGAGCATAAAACTCTGGCTGTGTTTGAGCTGGCCATGTCGCCTAAGTACTAGAGCCCTACAATGGCAGAGAGGGGAAGGGACGTGTGCTCCAATTCTCTTGCTTCGTGGGCTGGAAACGAATGGTGTGGTTGAAATGCCCCAAATGGTGGTAGGCAGGAGAGCTAAACTAGAGGAATAAAGGGAGGGCTCCCCAAGGGCTCCATCAGGGAAACAGGTCCTTCCCCTGGAAAGGAAAATACCCACCCAGGTTAGGAAAGCACAGCATGTTCAAATGAAAGGCTGAAAGAATGGCCATTTCTGCACTATCAATATCTATTTGTAGACACACACACTTGTGCTTGTTTGCATCCAAGCAGGTCAGGCAGTCGCATGGCAATGACAATGATTAGGTGTCTCGGGCAGATATTTTGTTTAATACCAACAGTATTGTTTTCTGGAAGAAATCCTTTTAGAGCAGTAATGATACAAGGCGGTGTATATGAGTCAAGTTACAAAGAAACATCTTCTTACAAGGAACCTTTAGAAGAGTGATTCAAAGTAATTTTCACATCTGTAGGCAGAAGAATTGCTTCTAGGAGAGAAGAATCATAGATTTGAAGGCCAGGCAGGACCATTATGTTCATGTAGTCTGGTCTCCCGCATAGAATATCATCAAATGATTCCTGCATCAACTATCCATCCTAGGTACTTATCTAACCCCCAGTGCCCTATTATTTGAGCTTCTCACAATCTAACATGTTTATTCTTAAAACTCCAGCTGAAGTCAAAAACATCCCCGTGGGGCTCCATTACAAACCCTTCCCACCCATTGGATGATGATTCCCTATTTACAATTACTTTGGAGATATCAGTTAGCCAATTTTCAATCCATTTAATATTTGCTGCACTGAATTTGTATGGTGTTAATTCTTTAATCAGGATGACCTGTGGTACTAAATCAAATGCCCGACTGGAATCTAAGTCTACGATATCAACGTGGTTACCTCTGCCAACCAAACCTGGCATCCAATCAATAACCGATATCAAGTATGTTTGATAAGACCTATTTTCCATAAAAAACTGTGTTGACTGGCACTAATTACACTGCCATCCTTCAATTCTTTACTGGTTACATTCCACATCAGCTTTCCCGTGATTTTGCCTGGGACTGATATTGAGCTAACTGGCCTATAGTTATCCATATCATCCTGTTAATCCTTTTTAGATACTCGCACATTAGCTTTTTGTACAGTCCTCTGGAACTTCCCCATTACTCCAGGATTTGTTAAATATCAACATCAATGGCTGAGAGAGCTCACTGTCCCGTTCTTTAAAAACTCCTGAGTGCAGGTTATCCAGTCCTGCAGTTTTTAAAAGGTTTAACTTTAGTAGCTGCTAGTTACTGATGGAATAGACAGTATTTCATTAAGGCGATTTATTTGCAAACCAGTGATGTGTTTGTAGCTGTCATTCTAGAGCACATTAAAGTGCATTACTCAGGGATCATTTGACTGTCCTGACATTACCTCATTACAGGATTTACTCTAGAAGTTGTAATACTGTATTCTTACGTGGTTGTTTTACTGATGTCCTGAACACTCTGCAGTGGGTCAGTTGTGTCAGGACAGCGCAGAATACAGGGAGCAAATACAATGGCCAGGGCATTAGCTGACATTCGATTGGTCTCTTCCTGCAGAGCAATCCTAAACGATAAACAACAAAACAGCAAGGGTTAAAGGTTGCTCCAATTCACCTAACACTGGCAGGAAATACCCCTGTAGAGAAACGGAAAGAGAACAAAATACAAATTCAGAGCAGGGCAGGGAGAGGAGTGCTGTATATGCACATGAGATCTGGAGGTCATTGCTAGGGGAAGATTTTCCACAATATTATATTGCTTTGAAGTGAAGAGCTTTAATTTGTTGTATCTGGTAAGGAACTAGACCAACAGGTAGCTCTACAAGGATGTAAATATTATACCAGACAAGAGCAAAAAGGTAAGACAATGGACACTAAGTGAACCATGCAACATGCCATGATGTTCTCTAGGAAACCTTTTGTTTTGACCTACTTAACCTATTTTCCAAAAAGGACTAAATACAGTGCAAGTTTATTACAGTTGCAAGCAACTCACTTAGCCATCATTAAGCTATGCCTTAGAAACAGAGCACAGATGTGTCTAAATGCATGTAGACGGCTGGAAACTTCACAGATTGTAACACAGTGACTATAGCCTGAACTAGATATTGTCTAAGCTCATGTAAAAGCATCACACATGATCCCTAGACCCTCAATGTTCAAACTAAAGGGTGCAACATGTGGCAATACTGTGATCCACTGCAATCTTACTGCACGTCTCAGCGGGTTAGGTCTATGGTATGGAACCATGTGTTTGTAACCAGCTGAGACCTACAGTGGTTGCCTTCTCAGCAAGTCTACAACATTTGTTGCTATTACGAAAGGGAACTTATATATAAAAAGAAGAACATTATTGCCATTAGCTATCAATGAGAGCATTGTCTGGAGAAAGAGCTCTTGGGTCCAGAGCGTTAAAGCCATTTCAGAATTTAAAGCATTCCCTTATGAAGTTTCACTCCCCTTTTTTCCTACAAAAGTACTTGGATCACATAGGCCCATGTTCAAGTACTTTTACTCACGTAGAACAGTACCTTGTTCCAGTGGAACTACTCATGGAGTAAGGTGGTACTTATGGGGAGTAAGTGTATCAGAATCAGGCCCCTAGTGAGGAAGGAGAAGAGAAAGAGTGGCTGCAGTATGACGATCCCATACTGTGGTCTGCCATTACCTCACAAGGTGAAAGATGAGGCGTTCCAGGGTACTGAGGTGGGTGCGAGAGAGCTGATCAATGACAGAATACACACCTCGGATGGTCTCCTTCCTCTCCTGCAGGCCTGGAGAGAGCACAAACAGTTACACATATTACAGGCAACTTCCCCATAGTGTCTTCTGCCATATTTACTTGCGAAGGTAGTGTGAATGGCCCAGTACAGGGGAGCTGTGCAGGAGGCCAGTGCACAGGGACAGGGATGACAACTCCCTCCTCTCCCTGCCTATACAAGCAGGCCCCCTTTGCAGGTCCCTCAGGTAGCAGTATCCTATGCAAAAAACATGAGCATAAGACACTGATTTCTTTTAAACAGATTCCAAAAGAGTTGGGAGGTGAATAATAATATCGATATCTCCTGGGGCACGTCTATGCTGCACACTCTGCTCACCATCAAAATCATATGCTACACACCACCCTAGCATGGGCAGAAATAGCAATGTAGATGGCGAGGCACTGCTTAGGTGAGTAAAGACGTGCATGAAGGCTGTGGGGATATACCCTACACCCACTGCTTAATTTTTAACGAAAGAGGTGCCGGGGCTCAACCTTTTTTTTTTTTTTAAACTTTCACACGGCAAGCCCAGAGGTACCAGGGCTATGAACGGCAAAGGCTTTGACTACTATAACAGTGTAAGGGATTAGTTTGTGTCACAGTGCTGTCTGTGGCTACATGGCATAGTGAAAAGTAGGCTGTGTCCATGCTGCAGTGCGTACCTACATGTCAGTGAAAGGCTCTGGCAGGGGGAGGCTGCAAGGAAACGCTTCAGCAGCAGAGAGATGCTGGAGCAGATGTGCCGCTCAGCCCTGGCAAGTCTTGGCACAAATTAAGCACCGCCTACACGGCTCTCTAAATGCCAAAGTCGTTCCTCCCGGCTACACAGCTATTTTTAGCAGTGTCATCACCCCCGATGGAGTCTTTCCCTGCTGCACGGAAAGACCCTGGCAGTTGGAAAAGGCTCTAAGAGGGAGGCAGGTGGGAGAGGCTCCAGCACTGTGTTGCCAGTAACGTCATAAAAGATGACAGATCATCAAAATGACTTTTTGGACTCAAACACTCTGTACAATTGGCGCTTGTACAATCGTACAAGCACACAATCTACTTGCTTGCTGCTTGTCATGACAATGGTGATGATAAAACTAAAGTAAAAAAAGACTGCTTGTTCTGGGTTTGGTACCTGCAGCTAACTGTACCTTCCCCGTCTTGGGTTTTGTGTGTGATTGTATAGGATTTGTATGGACCTTCCTTACCCATAGCTCGCAGAAATTCCTCGTAGAGTTCGAAGGTCATGAGGGGATTGGGCAAATCTCTCAGCCACTGTTTGAACACACTGGCAATGACATGAATGTTGTAGTCATCTAGATTCACGTTGTCAATATCTGTTCACCGAGGCAAGTGAGTGGGGGGAGTGGAAAAGAAACCAAAGAAAAAGCAAATGATCAGTTTTGATCCAGTAAACAAGACAGTGTTTTCATGTCAATATTGGAACTGGCTATTACCTAACCACTGTTCTTGGACCAACTTCTGTGGGTGAGAGAGGTCTTGAGGAAGAGCTATGTGTAGCTCAAAAGCTTGTCTCTTGCCAATAGATGTCAGTCCAATAAAAGCTATTACCTCACTCACCGTCTCTCTACTATCATGGGAGTGGTCAGATGTTCAGCTGCGTGTGTGTTCCCTCTGTGTGCCGCCCCAGCTCGGCAAAGACAACTGGCATGGCAGACTTCAAGCGAACCGCCCAATGACCACAAGATCCGTTAAGGTACAAAAGCACCCAGCCAGGGTTATTGTCGATGAAGCACAGTACTAGTATCCTGCACTAATACATGTATACCCATAACAATGGACCAGCTCAGTGAACGGTGGGACTTTCCGTTCCTCCCTAGGCTAGATAAAGAGACTGCCCCTGAGATACATTTTTATACACAGATACAAACAAGTTACGTATTGCTCCTCTGATAGTTGACATCCTCTGATGTCACCACCCACCACCTTGTACATTTCTATCCATCACATTGTCATCCTGACCGTATCTTTAGGCAGGGTCAGTGTGTTCCTGTTATCTTTGGGGAATGTGTTTGTACCATTCTTGGTATGGGGTGTTCTGGTACCACCCTTCTGGAACGTGTTTGTGTGTGTGTTTTGTGCTTAGCACTCAGGAATGTGTGTTTATGCAATATCAGCCCTGTTCTTGCCAGATTCTGTGAGCAGGGCCTGCCTCTAGCTCACAGCCTGATTTTGTTTTATATCAGCAAAGTTTTGACCGCTACTTTAGCCCAGCCTTCAGGCCTCATATCAGGCCTCTGATACATGGGCTTATGTCTCAGGCTCTCTTCCTAATACAGTGGGCAGAGCTACAACAACACTGCATAGTATACTAACTACTGTCATATGAAAAACAGGTATTAATACTGTAACAACCACAGATCACACAGTGCACAACAGCACAACCCTGGCACCTGGTTTTTAATATGACCATGTTAAAACCCTTGTAGTGAAAGGAGCCAGTTTTCCAGGGGTGAAAGTCTTTAGACAGAATTTGTAAAGCACTTTGGAAGTCTAGGTGATGTTGATAAATACGAAGCCTGGCTAACGTAGCTTTTTCTCCCAATTTCTTTTTATGATTTTTTTTGCACACTTGTGCACAAGAGGAGGAATATAACAAGAAAGAATTAAACAGTTCCACAAGACGACAGGGCTCTAACACAGTGCAGACTTTTGGTGAAGGCTAGTATTAGAGAAATGTCTGTACTTTCATGGTACCAAAAGCCAGAGTCTATGGTGGGGGAAGGGAAAAGGGTTCCTTTGCTTTGGCCCCCTTCAGATGACATGAATTCTCTTTTCACAGAGGTTCTTGGCTGTCCCTTTCACTCCCCCTCTGAGACATTCTCTTTTTCATCTTACCTGTGTCAAGACCCTGTCGGAGCTCCTTTATCTTATTGGTTGAGCCTGACTTCCTGTAAATGCCCTCGGTGTATAACCCATGCATTTCAATGTAGTTTATGAGCTTCTCCACCACCAATGGCACCGCTCGCTCCTCATTGGTCAGTCGGGAGAGCTCAACCCCAAACTGTCGTGACGAAAGCTCGGGATCATACTGATGTGGAGAAAGAGATTGATTTCTTAATTCCTTTTCAAAGGTCTCAATGCAATGCTGCTCACAGCGCAGTAAACTTAGGGATGTCTTGGGACTGAACCTCTCAATGTATGCAATGCAATTTGACTGCCGTTCAAGATGCAGTTCACATTTTTAAACAAAGTTAACTGGATTATTTGCAAATTAATCTAGTAAATCTAACTGAGCACAAGGGAAGAGAGGAAAGGCCTGTACACTGCCCCGCAAATCCAATCTTTCCCATGGGCTTTCTTGGTCACTGTAGCTATCCCTGTGTTCACTCTGCTGTGCCTGCAGCACTGCACACTGCTACAAAGACCAGCAAATGTTCATAGTTAAGGCTTGCAACGGGGCTGTGCTCAGAAAAATGGCTCTGTAAAATGGCCCACTGGTACTCTCCTTGGGTCTTCCGAGTCATTATTTGCTTCATGTACTGACATTTTTACTGTAGAACGAACACAGCTGTGCAACAGTGAGCTATATTCTAGTCTGCTTCATGCCTCACTGACAAAATTGCCTGGTGATGATACATGAAGGAGAACACACTTGGGCTTGATTCTGAGATCCCTAGATGAACTTACAGTGCTGACAGTTAAAAAAATGGTTTTGAACAAGTGTGACCTAGAAGCCATTAAGAGAGAAAGAGAATCAGTAAAAGATGCTGACATTCTCTATTTTTACAGAGTCACTTTCCTGACTAGAACTGCACTTTAGAGACTCAACATTCAGCAAACAATTAGATCACATTCAACCTGAATGAGAGATTCTGGTTGGATAAAGTCAAAAGACTGAGAAAAACTTTTCACACAATAATGCACAGATCCACTTAGGAGGCTTTGAACATATGGACTGTATGTTCAAACACAGCATGGGTAGTGATCCAACCAGAACAATGAATGAGAAAGTAGGTGTGTGGCTTGGTTAGACCTCTGACCAGTGCCACTCTTCCATGTCTGCTTCTTCTCATTCACTGTCACCACGGCACAAATGAAAACAACAAGAGGGGAATGTCCGGGGGAGGTTTCCACACTGGATAGACCTCCATGCAAGAACACACCAGGAAGAAATGGTGACAGCAACTGGTTTTGATCTCGTGTAAAATTCACAAGCTATTGTACTATCATCTCTTAATCTTTTAGTGCCAGGATTGGGCTGTTCCTATAGCTAACATCAAGTGCTATAACAAAAACTCTAACTTTTGCTGTCACTGTGTTCAACTGCCAACATTGGCATAAAATGCATTAGTGCAAACTACAAGGTCCATCAAAGCAAATACACTGCTAAGATAAGCTTGATGCTCTATTAGTTCCATCATAAGCCTAAATGAAAAGTCACCAGGTTCTGCATAAAGTTAAAAAACAACTAGGAAATCTGCTGTTACCTTTTGGATAAAGGGCACCTTCTCAAAATATACCAAATGGCACCAACCTTCTCAGCTGATGCACTGTGAAAATTTAACCCTTAGCAGCCTGGATCCATCCATCCATAAACAAATTAACAAATGCAAATGATCTAACCATTTCTGATCAGTACCTTGGACTGGTATTTATTTTTCAGACTCCAAATTTTCCTGGGCATTAGCAAGCAAGATTTTTAAAGATGAACTTGGCGAATACATTAATGTCACTTCACTAGAGTTCAGGAAATGAATTCACACCAAGTAGTTATTTTATTTTAGCAGAGTTTTCTTGGACTGAATTCTTTCATTTCCTGTTTGCTGCATTTCTGGCTGTGTGCCACTGAATTGTGGCCAAAGCAGTAGGCCTGGTTTGGTGAACCAACAGCATTAAAATCAACTTTTCATTTTCCTGGGCAGAAGGGGAGGGAGGTGGCATGTAGCAAAGATATCAATTCTCCCTTCATATTAGCATAAAACACACAGGTTCAGGCTGAGATTGTAAGGATACAAAATGCTTAACCATGTAAAGCAATTCCATTCTCTTGGAAACACCAGAGAGATGCATTTATCCCTGTCAGAGTATCACAGGCTGCGATTTGTTTATCATCATGGATCCAGCTCCCTCAAATACACTGCAGAGACTTAGGGCTTGTCTATACTTACCGCGCTGGTTCGGCGGCAGGCAATCGAACTTCTGGGTTCGATTTATCGC